CAAAGTAGAAGGATGTTATTTTACTTAGTCTAATCCAATTTCGTTTGATTCTTACTTGCAATTATCGTCTTTCGTCAATATTGTGTCGAACATGCAATTATTCGCGATACTTTATTGAAGTTTTTCATAAATCATTTTTATAATACAAGAAGTACAATCGTAAACAGAAAAAAGAATGTAGATTAAGAACAAGTTTTTTAAAAATGTTTTGTTTGATACACAATTAAGCTTGAGTTATTACAGTTTATCATTTAATAATAATGCAAAAATTTTGAATTGATATTACTGATAAAAGAGAAAAACTTCATTTGTCTTAAATCGATGAAAGTTAATGGACCATTCATCAAGAAACATTTGTTGTGACGTAAACACAAATAAATTTGCAAGTTCAGATAAGAAAAAAGTTCATCTACTAAAACTAATTGATTTACTATGTAATTTATACAGTCTGTTCTCATTAGGAACATTGTCTGTACAACAAAATAATCCACTATGACATAAGATGTCAGTGAGGTTTATATGATGCATGGTTGAAGTTTAATTGCTGTGTGACAGATGGCCCCGCCCGGAAACGGAACCGGAATATTTTAGTTCGGTCTTGATTAGGGTCTCTACACAAAACTATAATAAAAGCGGAACTGTGCATCGTATAATCTTCGCTAATGGCTTATCTTGTAAAAAGAACCTATTTAACCGACAATTCTGAAGTTTTCACAACATTTTTCCTACATCCTACACATTATGTGAATTCTGCATACGTAAGTGTCATTAAAAACAAATCGGAAAAATCCTGATGCATGTCTAATGCAAATAACCTCTGGAAATGCAGACAAGTGCAGTTTAGTTAGCATATTTGTATATTTCATCTAAACAGATATAGAAAGTCAAAGAAGGCTGTTTGAAAGTGTTAAAATGCTGTTATACAATCATATTTTCAGCATTATCAAGCATACTTTTTCTAATAACGTTGAAAAACTTATCTTTGATGACTTCTTAACGCCTAGAAAAGGCTGTCTGACTTTTTATGATTCCACGTCACTTTAGCAAAAATTACCAAGAAACAATTGAGTATTGGAACGTGTTTTTCCAAAGTATCGTTGCTCAAGTAGCAAAAAAGAAAGTTTTTACGATAATTGACAATTAAATTTGTAATCTTTATTCGAGCAAATTATGTGCTTTGAAAGCCATTAATGAGAAAGAAACGAACAACAATATCAGTAGATTACATAAAAGAAAGGTGAATTTTAGTAAATGCAATTTCAGTCTTTTTCAATGTGTACCAAGAGATTGTTAAATATCAATTTTCGATGTATATGAACATATTTGTAATAAAAATGTTATCATTAAGTGTTCTCTGTTTTTTTTGATATTGTAAATTCACCGTCTTCTAAAACAATCAAAAAATCATGTTTTAAATCAATGAATATCATGAAGATAGATATTTTACCTTTTAATTTCAAATCGATATTTTCAAACATGTAGTAATTGCCACAAATAAAAAGAATATATATGTATATACATATATATATATATATTTCCATCGATAATTAATAAATGTTTTTATGTTGAATATTTATTTACACAAATGTAAATTTTTTTTTTGCTTTTCTAATTTCGATGAACCAAAAAAAAAAACGACAAACGGAAGAACCAAAAAACACAAAAGAGAAGTAACAAAAAGAGAAAATTCAAATGAACATCTGTTATTTGTTGGAAATAGACAGAACAGCGTGCATATACGAAACAAAAAATAAATAGGGAAACACATGATTGTATATGTTAGGTAGATAATGAAAAGATAGAATAAACACGAAAGAAAACGAAATCTAATCGAATACGATCCCTGAGAAGAAAAAAGAAGAAAGAAAGAAAGAAGTTAAATTAGTATTTCTCTTTTAATCAAGAACTATACATGTATCATCATCTAATGATTTAGTTGAAGTTTTGCGAATTTCTTTTGAATTTAATATAAATACAGTTTGAATTTTTCCTTCTAATGTATGTCGTTTAGGAAAATAAAAAAATTCCACAACACGTGTTAAAATTGAATCAATTATTGAATCATAAATATTTAATGATAAATCATTACCATGTTCAAGCCAATGTGAATGTAATATGTCACTATTTGTAGTTTGTGCATCAATATATTCACGTTTTGAACAAACAAAACATTTTAAATAAATCCGTTGATATGTTAATGTTGGTTGATCATTATTAGATATGTCAATACAATCATTGTCAGATGCTTTCTTAAAACGTTTTGAATCATTATATGATGTTGTTGTTAATTTATGTTTAACAGTTGTTTTTTCAGTTGTCATGGTTGTTATTGTTGTTCGTGTTGTTGTAGTTTTTGTTGTTGTTTGATTTAATGATTGTTGTGCTTGAGGAAAAGAAGAATTTTCTTGTTGAGATAAATTTTGTAATGATCGTTTTGTATTTGACTATGATGAAAAAACAAAACAAAAAATTTATAGATTATGACCTTAAGTATTATTCGAAACAAAAATACAAACTGTTGAAACAATGTTTGTTTGATTATCTGCAATTGAATTTTTCATTATCTGATCAATAGTTGATTGTTCCAAACGATCAAGAACAACATGGCATTGTAGAGTTGAATGAATATATTGACCCATAGGAGTTCTTCTTGTATTATTTCGAAAAGTATTGGTTGCCATAGTGATGAATTCTGTACAGAAGGAAAGGATTTATTTTAAACGATATTTCAAAACATTAGCGTAAAATAATTTTCTATCTACGCTTAAAACATATCGACATAGTTTTAATACCTAATTTCCTCATTTTATTTTCAAATACTTGCGCCATTTATTAGGTCACGGGCAAAGATTTCAAGATAGAAGATCTTTATAAAAATGTTCCATGAGGGCCACATCAAGTTTCAAAAGATTTCCTATCCAATTTTTTTGAGCAATGTCAAAGAACTTTCATTTACCGGAGATGCAAACCCTCTATATATCTTTTCTTTCACTTTGTGAACTTGTAAACTATTCATTTACTTCATCAAAAGTCCATAATCCAATAGTGATATAATTGAACTCCTTATGAATAACATGATTATTTCAAAGCCATGAAATGTAAAACACTGTTTGTGTTGGTCTTGAATAAATCGATGTTTTAAAACAATAGATGATCCTTAGGATACATTATAATCGAATTTCTGTTATGAAAAGAGATTGATTGATAAGAAAAACTCGAAAATCCCGGCACGAGAAGTATATTTTCAATATGTACTCACTTAGCCACGTATGTGGTTATCATGAGTAAAATACGATGAATATCCTTGACAACCATGCATGCAATTATTTTTTTCGTCATGAAAAAAAAAATATAAGCATAAGTTTATAACCATCACGATTTTCCACTCATGCCATATTGTACAGCATGCAATCAGAGGGAATCATTTTGTTGCAAAGATCAACCCAAATTATAGTCAAAATTGTTTAATTCAACAATACACAGAATAAATATTCTATTATCTCAAAGAAAATCTATACATTTTTGTATAGAATTTAATTAAAAAATTAGCTTTCTCCATTGATTTGCGACATCCATGATATATATATATATATATATATAATTTTTGTCAACCAGTACATTACCTGACTTCGATACTTTTCGTTTGTTTGTCTTTTTGCTTATTGCTTTTAATGTACGTGTCTGTGTTACTGAACGTGTTAAGAGACATTCGTCTTTGGCTTGATCATTCACTGAACAAAATAGTTCAATATCATGTGTAATTGATAAAAATTTTAAGAATGGTAATAATATATATAAAGCTTGTCGAACACGTTGTCCATATTTGGGTAAAGGAAGTAAGCAAATAGGAGCTGCTAATCGTTTTGCTAATGGTCGTAATGTTGAAATAGATCTCGATGATTTTTTAGTCTTACGTCGAAGACCAACATATGCTAGAAATTGTTCCTCATCAATATCATCCACGATTTCAACATCATCATCATTTGTTAAATCGAAAATTTGTTCAACAGTTGTTTTTATTATTTGACGATTATTATTATTATTATTATTATTGTTATTATTTACATCACTTTTGATTGCGTTTTTTAATTTAACTGGTTTGCGAATTTCTGATATTGAAATAATTGACGCAGAAGATGATGATGATAATGTAGTTCGAGGTAAAATAGGTGTAAATTGTGATCGTGCTGAGATTACTTGTATTTGATAGATAATCGGGTTTGATGTACAACATGCAGCTGCTGTCATATCAATCGATAATTCGAATATAATAATAGAAGAAGAACAAATAGATTTATTTTTATGTAAAATAATCTAAATAAAGAAGAAAAAAACGATTTTGTAATCATTTCCAGAACTTTCTGTAGATGACGCTTTTGTAGTTCTGAATTTGTATTTGAGTAACGGTGAGTCAAATGTATATATATACAATTGAAACTTCAAGATAGGTTAACTAATATAATCAATGAAGTGCTAAGATGTCATTTGTGGTTTTTGTTTTATCAGAGCTTTTCTTTTTAATGAAATAAACCAACACTAATTTCCCCATGGTCAACTAGTAAATATAACCCCAAACAAACATGCAACTAAAAAAACAATATCATAGATCGTTGTCGTTTCTTGACAGTGGATCGTAGCGCCTCACGTAGTGACCAATCATTGATAGATTACTTTTGTTCAAAAAAATTTTAATTTATTCTGATTTTTTTCATGAATATAAAGATTTATTTTTTGAAGATTTTTATCAAATGTAATGTTAAGGAATTTAACAACGCCCTCTGTCCGTTACCATAACAACTTGTTTGAATTACAACGGTTGTATGGTGGTGTCGCTACTGAATCATGACATCAGCATGAAGCGTCCTTTAGTCAAATCTTATTAGAAAACCGAACTGCATATAATCATTTTTTAGTTTTAAATCAAACTTTCATTCAATTACAGTGTAATTATTTTCTAAATAGGGAATAGAATATTTGTTAATATTTACATCCGTAACATCATGGCAGCGTCAGGTCGTCTTCAAAAAGAGCTTGAAATTAAATCAAGAAAAATTTTAGCAACAACAAAAGATCCATTGGAGCGTCTACGTGCAGCATGCTTAGCTCGAGGAGCACAAGGTATCAAAGGATTATCAATGTATGTATTTTTCATATTGGACTATTCGTTCATTAGTGAAAGAAATAATTTCTTATCGATAATTTTTATTTCAGTTTATTTCGAATTATGGATGATGACAAAAATAGAAGGCTAAGCTTGGAAGAATTTCGAAAAGGGGTTGAAGAATATGGCCTGAACTTCTCAAAAACTGAAATTGACGATTTATTTCGTTCGATTGATATTGATCGTAGCGGTAATATTGATTACGAAGAATTTCTACGTAAATTACGAGTATGTTTTTACATTTTATCCAAATTTAAATTAAATTAAATTAAATTTTTTTAGCCTTCAATAAATAAGTTTCGTCTTGATTTAGTTGCTAAAGCTTTTGCTAAACTTGATAGGTATTTATAAAATTATTTCGAAACAATAAAAAAAAAAAAAGAAAACAAAATAAATTTTTACATAGAAATCACGATGGTCAACTAACAATTGAAGATTTACGTGGCGTTTATAATGTGAAAACACATCCAAAATATATGAATGGTGAATGGAGTGAAGATCAAGTATTACGACATTTTCTTGATTGTTTTGATTATGGAAAACATAAAGATGGTGTTGTAAGTATTATATTCAATCTCATTTACTCTATATAATAATTATTATTCTTAGGTAACACGTGAAGAATTTGTTGATTATTATGCCGGTGTTAGTGCCTCAATTGATAACGACATGTATTTCGATTTGATGATGCGAAATGCATGGAAACTTTAAATTAGCCTTTCTTTTTTAAAACTCAAATGATCAACTAATACTTAGCAATTTATTAATGCAATGTTTTTTTTTTCTTAATCTGTTGGTAATATTATACAGTATTATCTCATGGATATTCATAAATGTGCAACTCATAGTGAATATGAAAAGTGATTTCGTACAAAGATACGTATACATCTTTTAAGCTTAATCTAATTATGTGTGCTTTTTCTTCTGTTGTTTTTGTTTTGTTTATAAATAAATAAAAACGCAAATTCATCTTACGTCAATAAGAGAATAAAGATAAGAATACATATATAAGGATATTATTTACATCTAAATATAGCTTTTTCTAAAAAGAATTGCATAAAAGTAGAATTCTCTAGTATTTTAATGCTATATGAGATCATTCTAGACTTCATAACTTTCGTCATTACTCTTTGACAGCTAGAAAAAGTCAGGGCATTACACAAATGCAATTGCTTTCGTTGTGAATACCCGATTCAAGCTAGAGTGCTGCACGGGTGCACTTTTTTTCACCCGAAACCGGACCGGAGCTTTTTTCCGTACCCGAGTCCGAACCGACCCGACAACTTCGTACCCGGACCCAAACCGGACCCGAATAACTTCACCCGGTACCCGACCGGCAGCCATTTATAAGTATAACACACCCGACTACTATTATCACGTACAATCAATTTCAAACTTTATTTCATATGAAAAAATATACAATCTACTTAAATAAATAAACAAAAAAAACACTCATCTGAAATTACGTAAAAAAAATGTGGAAACCTCGGATTTAAATCCGAGTGTTATGTGTACTTCAAAAAGTAAAAACACAGAAGCAATTTCCGTTTAAGTATCTTTGCAATAGGTGACTTAGCCATCTTGTTTCTTAATGTTTTATATTCCATTTTGCAGCTCGTGAGATTCTCTATCGAATGGTATATAATAGCTGAGGTTTTGTTTGATTATGAGAGAAAAAGTTTTTTCATGAAAGTCGGGATAGGTCAATAATCGCATAGAAAAATGTAGGGGAAAATGACTTTTTTGCGATAACTCAGCAATGGCTCTACGAATCATTCTCATCTTTGAACTCAGCCGAGACATTGATGAGACGATATTGTGTACAAAATCTCATCAAGATCGCACTCTCCTTTCAAAAGAAAAATTATCGCGTAAACGGTCGGACACACTGACCGATTCTAGAGTGTACGACTTTTTGAGTACACAATAATTTTAAGTACCTTGAATCTTGAAAAATAACAAAACAAAAACTTTCTTTTCACTTCTACGATTTACTCTTTGGTAAAAGTGATGATCCAGTCGGCTTTAATTCTTATCCTGATACCTTGACAACAGTAAATACCAGGTTGAAATAGTAAAAATATTTTGAAAAGTTGAAATGTCACTAATTGCCGGTTCGGGTCCGGGTTTGGTCTTACACTTGGACCCGAACCGAAATTTCTTTTTTAACCCGACGCCCGAACCGACCCGAAAAATTTTACCCGAACCCATGGTCCGGTTCGGTTCGGTTTCGGGTACCCGACCGGGTTGCAGTACTCTAATTCAAGCTGACTCATATATATATATACAAAGAGCAAAATGCACAAATGTCTTTTTTCGCAAGCTGTCTTTTTCTTTTTTCAATTTAATTTTGAATTTAGTATAAAATCAAAGATATTAGTGTCAATGGATAATGTCATTTCAAGAATTGTTTTTTTTTTTCTCTGTATAAAATTTTACACTTTGTCATACTTTATACAAATTCAATAGGAACAAATAATTCTGTTTTCTAATAATCATATCGAGTTTCGACACTGTTCGGCATACACATGATATCAAAAGAAATAGTATAAATAACATTCAAATTGATTTCAAGATGTTATACTAATGATTATACACGAATTAAAGTTTTTTTTTTCTTCTTCAATGAGAAGTGCATTATTTTTATCATCGATTGTGATTCATAAGTCAGAAATATTTAGTTCTAACATATCAAAGAAAAATTATATAATGTAAAAAAAAAATTTTTCGAAGTCTAATTAAGTTTCATTGAAGGTCTCTCTACTCTTAAGAAATATGATAAATATTTCAAATTTATTGACATTAGTAGAATATTATTTAGTTTTTTTTCTTCTTGTAAAAATTTTGCTCACCTATAAATTTTATTATAATCGATTTGCAACGTAGTTACGACCGTTCTTCATTCACACTGTAATTTTTCATTGCGAAAACTATAGGTGTTACTACGCATCATCACAATGTTGTTATCATAATTACACATAACGTCAACTCTATCTTCGTAATTACGTACAACTACGTCATAGTTCTTCACACCTACTATCACATTGTGATTTTGTATCTACGACATAACTATGTCACAATTCAATTGCAATTATGAGTCACATTGTGATTGCTGTACGATCGTAACTACGTTAGAAGTCGATTAAAATTGAATTTGTAAGAAACTCAAGACAAAAACTGTAAAAAAATCTATTTCATTTGGAATTCTAAAATCAGACGAGTTCCATAACTGCAAACTATTTGTTTTAAAGTTATTGCTATTTTGTCTAAGTGCTGTCATATTCCTCAGAAGAAGTCAATTTAGGTCAAATTTATCAATTTTGTGATTTATAGATTCTTAAATAAAGCAAAGTATATACTCTCGAAAGTACTATAGTGTATGGATTTTATGATGAGATTCTAGGACATTACACAGGCTTTTGTTGAACCCTCACACAGAATAAAACAACGAATTTTTTTTCTAACAATTTTTATCTTGTTAAGTCTTTTACGGTTCTCTGTTGACTTTTGACAGTGATATACATGACTATAATGTGTTGGTGAATCCAATATTCGAACATGAAATAACTACAGAATAGAATGAAACTACTAAGCATTGATTCATAATTAAATTTACATTGACAGAGAAAATAATCAAAGACTTCATCATTACTCTATCAATGTAAAATAGATTATGGATCATTTGTTTACCTTTTTTTCTTCTTTGTTACATGCTCAATCATAATGAGTACATCATATTTTGAAGTGTTTTGTAAATAATTTGAAAATACTTGTTCTACATGATAAATATCGATTTAGATGAATTTATAGATTTTGTTTTTAAACAGATGATTTTTATTGATAGCTCAGTACGATCTAATATGTTCCTATGAAAACAGCAAAAATTCTCTTGTAATTACATTTAAAGATTCTTTTTATATGAGGTTAGGAAGGCGAAAGTCTTGAATTTGAATGTTGAAATTCATTTGACATTTTTACGGTACAATAAAGAAATTGAGCTTCGTTTAATTGTACTGTCATATATTGGTTACATTTTAAAATCAACTCAAACTTTCTAGCATTTGGAATGGAGAAGAAATTTTGAACGCACGAAAACCTATATTACGATTCAATCATAAGCTAAATACATCCAGCTGAAATTTTTACTATGAAGTGCCTAGCTCGAGATACACCCTAATTAAAAATTCCATCACGATTAGATACTTTCATTACTCAATGAATTACATTCTTTGAAGTGTTTTTTTTTTGTATATTTATTTTAATCAAAAAATAGTTTTGATAAATATTTATTGAATAAGTACAGCATATTGTTTAGGCCATGGTGTATCACTATTATTATTATCATATTTCATTCCTTGCCAAGTTTTTTCTTGATCAATACGAATTTGTTCACGAATATTTTCAAATGAATAAGCAGCTGGTAAAAATATTCCAGTAAAAAAATCATCAACTTTTACCGCATAGGACGCTGGTGATGATGTTTCACCAACATTGCCTGTTATTTCATGTTCTTTTTTTTTAACAAAATAAAAAAAAAAAACATGTATATATTTAAATAAATAATAAAAAATATTGTTTTATTCATACCACGACTTGCTAATGAACGAGATTTATCGATATCATCTGGTGTTTCATGTGTTAAATCAGATACTTCACGAACAACAATCGCTGGATATTCTGATTGTCGACTTTCTTGTTGTCGATCATGAACACTTGGCTTTAAAAAAAACAAAATTCATTTGTCTTAAAAAAACAAAAACAAAAAAAAACATTTCAGTTCAATTTCTTACCGAACCAATAGATGGTTGAGAACCAAGACTATGTTCAGATGTAGCTGTTTTTGGTGGTTTAACATAAGTATTATAATATTTACTACCTGGATGAATAAGTGCACAAGCAATTAAGGCTTCGAAAAATTCAAGAAAACACATCTAAATATAAAAGTAAAATATGCTTTATGAATGATTAGTTCTAAAACAAACACGTACTTCAATATCTAAACGAATATCTGCAGCATTTGTTGAACCTGATGGTCGAATATTTGGATCATCATCAGCTAATATTGATATAATACGTGATGCTGTTAAATGTAGAGGATCAATTAATTGAAGACGTTTAATCATTAATAAAAAATCACGTTTTTGCATCGTCATATCATATGGTTTATCCTTTTAGAGAAAATAATATAGATATATGTAAAGATAATAAAAAATTTTAAACAAACCTTATTTTTTGTGCAAAATGTTAAATATATCTTGTGACATTGATCTTTATATCGAGAGGCTTGTAGATATTTTTGTGAATCGGTAAATAGATTACCTATTAATTAGAATGTAAATTATGTATAAACTTAATAAATCACTAAAGAAGAAATTCAGTAACAAACTTGAGTGAATCTAAGCTGGAGAAAGACTTAAAACTTGAAATAAATATATTCGACAATGAGTTCTTTTATTTATTGAGTTCAGATTCTAAGAAATCGCATTATGTCAAACAGATTTCTATGTTTTTTTTTATTCATACAGAGCGAAGTCTTCCAAATGATTAATCACATTTGAGTCGCAACTTTGTACACCATGTAGGCTCTGATGAACTATGAATATTCTGAAAAGAATGTGAGTCTTTAACTTAATGTTGTGAAGATACTACATTTTAATGATATTTTAGAATAGGAACAAAGAAAAGATTTGAATCTTTCATAAAAACCGACGGAATCATATAAAACACATAAGTTAAGAGTCCGAACTGTTTTCAGAGTATTCACGACTCGTCGCTGCTTACATGATCCACATAGTCCCGGTTCGAAAGTTATTTCATCAGTTCGTAGACTTTCGTCATTAGATGGTATCCTACTAAATAGAATATTTCTATGTTTTTAAAAATTAGGAATCACTCATTCTTATATAAAAGCCGTTGATCTTTCACTGAATATAATAAACAAAATAAAATCTTATCTGTGAGTAAGTTTATAATAAGAAAATGGAATTAATTTGTAGACTATGTTAGATATCTAAAATCGTCCTTGTTCAGTACTGTTGAAATTTATCTATGAACTTTAATGTCTAAATTCGAAATTAATAACTAACCTCGAATATTTCCTGCTAAATGTAAAATATTTTTTTCAATAATTGTTTCCATTGAAGAAGCAATTTGTAAGCTAATTGGTTGTTTTTCTGATGAAGATTCACTTTGTCTAATAATTGAGAAGAGAAGATTTTTGTTTTTTTTGTTATATAAAACTTATAAATACTAACATTTTTTTTAATCGATGTAAATGAAAACTAATAATAGCAATAGCATTTAAAAATTCTCGTACTAAAATTGATTCATCTGGTCCATGCATATTTTCTGTTGGTAAACATTCGGCTAGAAGAATTTTTCAAAACATAAATAAATTTATATTGAATATCTTTGTTTTTCTCTTTTACCAATCAATCGATCATATTCAATTGGTGTAACACCATAACTATGTAAATTACAATCAAGAATAAAACGCCAAAATTGAATACGTGCCATTAAAAATGTATTATCAATATTTGTTTGTAAATCAACACCTAATCGAGCATAAATACGATAGATTTGTTTTAATTGTGGAAGATGACGAAATAAAACATGAAAAACCTGTTTAATAAAGAAAAACAAGTACTTCTTTAAAAAAAAAAAATAAATTCGAGTTTTTCTATAAACCTGATCGGTAATTTTCTTTTTATCATCATCTTTACTTGAAAGATGATGTAAAGCACCATCAAATTGTAATTTAAAATTAGGAGTAATTGTATTTCGACTTTCACTTCGTGTTAAATTCAATGGATCAAGTGTATTGGATGCTAATAGAAAACATAACTATTGATTAAGAAAACAAAAAAAAAAACAGCAAACATATTCATTTTCATTTACCAGATGGTATTGGTGTTTTAGATACAATTTCAGGTAATTCAATTTCTAACATTGAAGTCATATCACTTGTTAAAGGTGTTATTATACGATCATTTAAAAACTCAGCTTCGATTACTGTACCATTTCTTAAGATGACTTTTCCCTAAAGAAAATTCAATTGATTGTTTTTTTTTTTCAAAATATCTATTTTAGATAAGGAAAAGATAATTCTGATCTTGGACAGAACTAGTCGCTTTTTTTTTCTTAGACTAAGTTCGAAATCAAAAATGATTAGTTTGTATTCAATACTTACATTTCCATGTTTTTGATCTGCTTTCCATTCGCCTATATATTTTGTTCCACTTGAATAATAAAATGTTCCTTGTCCATGTCGACGACCATCAAAAAAATTTCCTTCATAATAATTTCTTAATGCATATTGAGATTCTTCAGCTCGAATAATATACCATATATGAATACCATGTCCATTCTAATTTTAAATAATTTATTATTTTTAATCAAGGTAAAATAAAATAAAACAAACCTGTACACCATTTTTCCATTGTCCTATATATTCTCCATTTCCATTACTCCATGAAAATACTCCATATCCATGTCGTTTACCATTTACCCACATTCCTTCATATAAATTTCCTGATGCATATTGTCGACGACCTTTTCCAAATGGAATATTAAGAATAAAATCACCTGTATAATAATTTTGTCCTTCGCGGCCAAATTGTAATGTGCCCTAATACACAAAGAAAAAAAAAATAATCCTTATCGAAAAAAAAAACAAAATATTAACATACTTTTCCATGCATATTACCCATATGCCATTCACCTTCATAGGTAAGTGGACTTTTGCCATGTCGAAATATTCCTGTACCATGTCGACGACCTCGATATACATCACCTTGATATACACTAAACATATGTCAATAGATTATTCATGTATGATTTTTTTTTTCTTTTACCTTCCATCTGGCCATTGATATGTTCCAACACCATCTAGTTGATTATTCACAATTGTACCTGAATAAATCACACCATCAGCCCATTCATATCGTCCTTGTCCATTCATCATACCACCACTCCAATCACCCTATTAAATAATTAATGAAAATAATATACATTTATTTATGTTTCTTACAGTATAACTATGATCACCAACATATGTAGCTTTACCATATCCTTCATACAAACCTTTTTCTTTACCACCTTCATAACTATATATTTTGAAGAAGAAGAAGAAAAAAAAAACAACAATGAATTTTGTCTTATTTATTTTAAATTTTACAAACCTTAATACAATAAGATTAGGTAAAATAGGTTCTTCATATTTAATATCAGCATCTGATAGAGCTGTACCAGTAATACTGTCTCCAACATTTACTCCAGTTTCACCGCTTTCACGATTTCCATCGGTATGTTGACTAAGTTCTGATGTTGATACACCTGGATCTTTATTAGTATGATCATCTAATGGTGTACCTGATTGAGATGTTCCACGAGCTAAATTACTTGTTGCTGCTTTTGATGTTGAAGTATTATCATTGGATACTGAACCAAGATCAATATTACCTAATGCTGTTCCACTTGTTTCATCTGCACCTTTTTTTGTACCTTTTGTATCTTTTTTCTTAGGATCTTCTTCTGATTTGGCACTTTTTTTTGTACTTGCCTTTGCTGGCATAGTATGTTTTTTGATTAAACTTAATTTATGATTACCATTTTTTCAATATGATCCATGGTGATTACAACTTAGAAAAAAAAACGATACTTCTAGCGACATATTTTCCATTGGAGGTTTATACTACAAATCTTTGATTTTACGTGTTTTTTTTCTTCTTTTCTTTCATCATGGATTGATCATGTATGTGTTCTGTTGTGGTAGCGAAGCTTCTCGACGATTCGAGTACTTTCTTGAATGGATTGTGAAAGAACAGCAATATAATATATTATGAAAAAGAAGAGAAGTCGAGTCATAGGAGAACATATGCACTAGTTTAATTGCAGTGTCACCGTAGCCACCCCTTTTACCATTTATAAACAGACTAAATAGTTATAAGCTAGAGAAGAAAATTGAAAAGAATTTTAGTTAAAAACAATGAATATATCGTACTTTTTTAGTTTGTTTTAGAAATTTTTATTTTTTTGTTTTGTTATTTATATACATATCATGGGCAAAGATTATTATAAAATATTAGGTACAAGATTTTTCTTTTTGTTTATGTTTTGTACTTGTTACTTATTGTGTTTTCTTTGTTAGGTATAAGTAAAGGTGCCTCTGATGACGATATAAAAAAAGCTTATCGAAAACTGTAAGTTATATTTAGAAATTGAACTTTTTTGTATTTAATATAAATAAAGTTTAGTGCACTAAAATATCATCCAGATAAAAATAAAGAACCGGGTGCCGAAGAAAAATTTAAAGAAGTAGCTGAAGCTTATGAAGTATTATCAGATCCGAAGAAAAAAGAAATATTCGATAAATATGGTGAAGAAGGTAAATGGAAAAAAAAAACAAAAGATTCCAGATATTATTTCAATTAATTCTTTTGTTTTTTTTTAGGTTTAAAGGTTGGTGGTGGCAGTGGTGGCGGTGGTGGTGGTGCTGGTGGGCAACAATTCTTCTATTCAAATGTTGATCCTCATCAAACATTTCGAATGTTCTTTGTAAGAATCATATTTCGTTGTTTGTTCTTTCTAAATATGATTTTTAAAACAATTCAGGGTGGTGCCGATCCATTTGCAATGTTCTTCGGTGGTGATGATGATGATGGAGCAGGTGGTGGATTTGGTGGATTTCCTAATGCGGGAGGTTTTAATTTTGGTGGTCATGGTGGCCAACGAACGCAAACATCAAGAAAAAAGACTCAAGATCCTCCAATTGAACATGATTTATTAGTATCACTTGAAGAAATTGCAACAGGTGCAACAAAAAAAATGAAAATATCAAGAAGAGTTTTAAATCCCGATAATCGTACAACACATATAGAAGATAAAGTATTAACAATTGATATAAAACCTGGTTGGAAACAAGGAACAAAAATAACATTTCCACGTGAAGGTGATCAAAGTCAAACAACAATACCAGCTGATATTATATTTATAATCAAAGATAAACCTCATCCAACATTTCATCGAGATGGCAGTGATATTATTTATACAGCTAAAATCAGTCTTAAAGAGGTAAGTTACACCAAGAAAATAAAAAAAAATAAAATTAGTTGTAGAATTACCCAATCAGAATACACAAAAAAGATGATAACGTCTGATAATTAGGTAATGAAAAAAAAGTCGATTTCTGTTTCTTTTCATTATAGACATGCTGGGAAAAAAATCTTTTATCAGATAATGAAAGATTTTTTCTTTTCTTTAGAACTATAAAGTGTTTATTTTTGTCGAATATTTATAATCAAAATAATGTGAGTAGAAAGAAAAACATTTGCGTAATATAGTTGAAATACTTATATTGATTTACCTAGGAACTTTTGTAAAAAAAAAAATCAGTTAATTGCATTATAAAATAAAGAATTTCACGGAGAATAATTTATTCACCTGTATTATCTATTTTTTCAGATTAGTCAATGCGTTTTGAATACTATTGATGTTGTTCGTTGAAATTATCGAATAATATTTAACTGATAATGCTAAGATGTTCAACTAATCTATGATAAGTTTCATTTTCGATTAGAATTTTTTCTTAGGCGATTATTTGTTGGTATAAATTTTGTATCACTTTTAAAAATATCTATCAATGGTGTTCTGTATCATTTTTCATACCGTCTAAAATTTTATAATATAATAAAATGTCCTTTTACAATATTTATGTCCTAAGTCAATATAAATATCGCATAAATGCTATATGAGTGTTTGTCTTTCTACTTACCTTATTGTAAATCTCTCCTCACCTTGGATGAGCACTGCGCAACATGTAATAGTACACTCTTTTTAACTATTCAATTTCTTGAAAAATTAGAACCTTAATAAATATGACTGTATCAAAATCTGCCGAGTTGTAAACTGAAATATCTCCACCCAAATTCTCGAAACCGTTTTGGTATTTTTTTTTTTGAAAAGTCTTCTTATTAAAAATTCTGAAATCAAATGAGACACAGCAAAAGATGTCTCTGAAATATTGATGTGTTGAGACATTATAGAAAACTCAGAATTTTCTTTTGCCGAGAAGGGTTTAGTTAACAATATCGGACAAAAATAAATAAAATCTAACGGATGATAAAAAAGTTCTAGATCAAATCGTCGTGGAGACTTGATGGTTTTCTTGTTAAAACAAGTTTCAAAATTTTTAGGTACATTATGTCTGAGTGTAACTCACACGATGTGGACTTTCTAATACAATCAGAATATTCGATTTGGAAAAGCATAGATTTCATAGGAAAAAATTTTTCTCGTAATATCTAATATTCTATTTTATATAATTCGTTTTTGTAGAAGATTCATTAAAATCTAATGAACACTTTTCGCTAGCAAATGTCGATTTCGAACTCAACTAAAAGTTTAAAACTTTTATTTTGTACTTGTTTATAATGCTCTATTGTAGCACTACAAAATCCGATAAAAGGATGGAAAATAAAAAAATCTTTCTTCTCAATTTTTGCTAACTGTTTTGAACTCAATATTTTTTATACAGTTGCATATGAAAGACTTAGCTCTTTCTAACAAGAATACTATCAAATTTCTACAACGAGTTCTTGCCATGCTATAATGAAAACAAAATTAATGCAGAATTTTTGTATCATCCCTCAGTTGAAAGGAGAAAAAAAAATTTCCGGTCACCGCATGTCTATTGAAAAGAAACACTGTTGACTTTTGTTTGATTAGCTCTGTGTGAGTTGTTAATAAAAATATTTATTCATGTTTGGAAACAATGTCATGTCTTTGATAAAAAGGATTGAACAAAATTTTTTCATTAGGATTGAAACAAACAGAAAACTCTCATCTCTATATTGGTTTTCGAGAGTTTTGTGTCATTGGTACTTGCACTTGATTGCAATAGAATCTATCAGAATGTTTGTTTTCTTTTTTTTTTGATAATTTATCCTTGAACTTCGATAAGAACTCAATAAAAATATCAACATATATATTCATAGGTTGTTTTTTTTTTTTCTTCAAGGCTTTATGTGGAACAACAATCAATGTTCCAACACTTGATTCAGGTCGTGCGCGGAAACTACAACTAAATGAAGTTATTAAACCAACAACTGAAAAACGACTTACCGGTGATGGCCTACCTTACACGAAACAACCCACAACTCGTGGTGATATTATCGTGAAATTCGATATTAAATTTCCTGATTCACTTACTAGAGACCAAAAAGAAACCATTTCATCCACATTACGTTATTAAAATAGCGAATGAATATTTATTCTTTTGTATTTCTGTGTATATTTTTTATTATGTTTTACATCAGACTTGTCTGTTGAGTAAAGCATAGTTTCTACTGGTTATAGCCAGGCTCTTTTTTTAGTTCTATTTCTTTTTTAATTATTTCTTTTTTGTCTGCTCAAATATTGAAAACCTTAACGAATGAGTGATCTGTTTATTCTTTATATGCGTTATGATATTTGACAAAAAAAGTAATTTATTTATTCAAATGATTTTTAAAATGTATAAATTCAAGCATACTTTGTTACCCAACATTTAACAAAAAAGAAATTAAAATCAGTGGATGTGCTATGATGAATTAATAATCGTCGTTGTTTTCTAAATAAGAAAAAAAAAATAACAAACTTAAGAATATAAACATTGTCTATTAGAAATAGAAAGTCTCTTTGGGGTTTATGTCTGAAACATAAATCTTAGTGGCGTAAGTAGATGAGGACTGAGAGGATACTTAGTATCCTAACAAATGGTTGAGTTCTGATTAAAAGGGCTCGTCAGGTTTAAGATTTTCTGAACGGGATCCGACGGGCTCTATGCTGGTATTTCTTCTCGACGAATATGATCAGTGGACTGAGCTCGCCACTGCAACTTTTTTCTGAGTATACCTCTAATAAATCCTCATCGTAGGTCGCAAGATCGATGCTGGTCTGTTTAGGATTCTCAATGAAAGAAGAAGAAAAAATCATTACATACACAGAAACCAGGACAAGTATGATTACGTCTGATAACAGTATATGCATCTCTTGTCTCGTATTTTTATCAACAAAAACTTTCATTTAATATGTGTGCATCAGCAGAAATTTGGACAATTTTTCAATTTAGTTATATAAATATTCGAAAAAGTCTTTTTTTTTGGATTTCTATTTTCTCAAAGAATCATGATGATGTTCATCTATTTTAAAATTAAATTTCATTTAGATTGATTCGATAATAAGTTCGAAATAATAAATTAGAAATACTTGAAGAATTTTAACAAAAATTTTATGCGAAATATTCTTTACATATTAAATTACTCTAATGAAAAATAAATCTTTCGAAAAGATTATTAATGAAATATATTCACCTGTCAAATCACTATCTCTTTTATTGCGACAGAATGGACAACCACCTTGTTCTAATAAAGCCAATTCAAATTCATCATTATGAAAAAACTATAAGATTTAAAATAAAATAATATTTTTTCATTTGTCTTTAAATCAATAATTAAAATTTACCTTATTACAATGTCTACATCGACCAACAGGTTGTTCAGGTACAATAATTCGATACCATTTCCATCTTAATGGAAATGGCCATTTACAAACGAAAACAAGTGATGGATCCATGGCTTTGAGTAAAGCACGATCAACAACAACAGGTCGATATTCATCAGGATTCGAACTATATTTACTCATTTTTTTTAAAAATGGATCTTTATCTTCAGCACGTGTTGTATTTCCTTGTTCAGTTATAACGAGACGATTTGTTGTTGATTGATTTATTTTTGTTGATGATGTAGAATTTTCTAATTGACTATTTGGTACTTGTTCAAGGAGATTTAAAGCATCTTCATCATTTATATCTGATGGTAGAATAAATTCAACCAATGGGAGAACATCAAATGAAAGAAATGAAAGAACCTAGAAAGAAAAATTTCTATTGAATTAAATCATGATGAGAAAGAAAATTTGTTCAATCTATTGTTATATTGTAAGATAAAGAATTTATTCGACAAAATAAGGATGATATGATTTTCAAAATAATTTTTTGATATCGGAGCCCTTTGTTGGCTCGGCGAAGTCTATGAAAGTCGGTGTGTATGCTTAAGTCAATAAATTCTATTGGTTACACTCATAATACGTGACAACTCTAAGGAATTTTATGATTTATTCAAAATTCGATCTATAGATAAAAGCTTTTTGCTCGTGAATGCTTATCCTAAAATGAAATCAGCTTAGTTCATCTCATGGTTTTTATTTTCAAAAGATGCTAGCTAATAAACTAAGTCGGACTTGACTAGGTCAATTTATAACACTGTTTGATATTTTTGCGTATATGTATCTCTATTATTATCATCATGTCGATTAAATTGAAATATGGATTATTAAAAGGTGAATGAATAATCGATGTGGAGAATTTTGAAATCCCTGAAAAATGTTTTACTAATATGAACACATATTCTATCGATTATCTTTTTATACCAGATTATAACAGAGTAAGTATTTTTACTTCACATAACTTCTGGCATAGAACATTTAACTCAATGCAACAATCGAATTGATCTAATGAATAGAATCAAGGGTTATCTTGCAGAGTTTTCAAAACCTAGACTCTAGTATTGATTCATAGCATAATTTAAAGACGAATACTTAAACAAGACTCGTCAAACTGAAATATTTTATTTCATTGCTTAACTATAATAAAAAGCTGTTAGTACAATCTCAACAGGATTAAAATGTGCAACCAAATAGAAATGCTGATATTGTAAAAGAGGAGATTAATTAATATATGTTTCTATTTATGAATTTCTATCGACAGTTAATAAAAGACATTAACCGCAAATTATTTCAATGAGTATAAAAGACAACTATCATACTAAACCCGCAGTGATGTCTATCACGATCATGTGTTCACAAAGTATTCTATTCAAATCTCAGTACTAATAGCCATGGAATGGTGCTGAACATGTCACTAACAGGTATTGGCTTCGGAATTACTCCTCTGACAGAATGCTAACTACGTTGTGACATACACACACGCTCTTGTGATTACTATCGGCGCCAGAATTCAAGGCAGTCGGATGTTTTTTGAATAACTTTTGATAGGAACAAAATAGAGACCTGCGGTTTTCAGCGTTTGATAGTCAAGACCCAGAAGCATATTTTCATAAACAAAATCTTTTCTGAGAAAAATTTTGAAGATAGATTTTTTAGAGGATTTCTGGAAAACCACGCTAGATTTCTGAAAACTGCTATAGCAGTCTATTGATTTTTTTACATATTCGGAATCAGCATCAAAAACTGAGTCGAATCACGTATGTTTCGAATCTTTTTTGCGAACTTTTTTTTCATCGAAAAATTCACCCCTGATCCTCCTGAGAGTAGATGAAAAAATAAAGTCAGTCAAAACTCCGTTTTTATTGTTTATTCATTTGCCATTTTATGCTCTACTAGCATTTTAGAAGCTCCGAACTTGCTTTCCATTGTCCAAGTGACTTTTTGACTGACTTTATTTTTTGATCTACTCTCAGGAAGACCAAGGGTGAATTTTTCGATGAAAAAAAAAGTTCGTGAAAAGATTCGAAACATACCTGATTCGACCCAGTTTTCGATGCTGATTCCGAATATGTAAAAAAATCAATAAACTGCTATAGCAGTTTTCAGAAATCTAGCGTGGTTTTCCAGAAATCCTCTAAAAAATCTATCTTCAAAATTTTTCTCAGAAAAGATTTTGCTTATGAAAATATGCTCCTGGGTCTTGACTACCAAACGCTGAAAATCGCAGGTCTCTATCTTATTTCTATCAAAAGTTATTCAAAAAACATCCGACTGCCTTGAATTCTGGTGTCGATAGTAGTTACAAAGTCGACCTAATTTCATTTAATAATACAATTTCAATACGAAAAAACATGATATTCATCGGTTTTCTCAAAAATATTATTATTTGTTAATAATATTCGACTGTTTGATTAATAGTTGTTGAGCATTCACATAAGGAATTACTGTTTTATGAAAATTATTATACTTCATTGTAATCAACGTTTTTGTTTTCAAATTTCTACAGATTAAAAACAAATTTTAAATAAAATTACAAAAGCACTAACGAGAAAAGAATAAATATAAGTTAGTTCAATCAAACAAGAACATCCATCAAGTAGAAATAAACAAACTTGAAATTCATTTCAATTTGTTCCAACCAATAATAAAATTGTTAAAAAACTAGCATATTTGACAGAAGTATAACATTCGTTTAAACAGAAATTATTTTCAATTTTGATTAAATGCTACAAAAATGGCGGAAATACAAAGAAAAAACGTTGAAGATTAATACTGATAAATCTTATTTTCAATAAGTTTTTAATTTCATATAAAATTTATTTTTTATGCTATTTGAAATCATAGCACTACTTTCCTGGAAAAATATTAGTACATTGTTTAAATAAATCAAATCATAAATTAAAGAATAAAGATGAAAACAATTTTTTCGTCTAATCGAGATCATTTCTGATATTAGTTCTAAATATATTAATCTTCGTCTTATCCATTTTATTTAAATCAAAATCAAAAATGAAAAAATTAATATATCTTTGTATAAGGACAATATTCTTGTATGTGTTTGGAAACATTTGGTTCATCAACAAATATCTCAACCAATTTAGCACAATTATTTCGTGTTGCTGCTCTTGTAAAAGTGTGTGTAACTCTTTTCAATTGATGATAATCAATATCGAATAAGATATTATTTGGTAAAGATGTTTTTGTATCAATTAAAAATTGTTCTATATAATCATCATGAGCCTCTTGAAAATCTAATTCAGTAAGATGAAGAAATTGAACAATTGATAAATTTGTTTCTTGATATTGTTTGTGATTTTGTGGTGTTTGATTTTTTAGAGATAAATATTCAATAAATGGAAATGATTGAGAAATTCGAATAAAAAATTCATATTCAAATGAATATTCATCAAATAATGATATTTTTCGAACATATTTAAATAATCCATCTGGAAAATTATTTGTAATATTATGATAATATGTTATTCTATTTGACAATGGATATGAATAAATATGACAATAACCTATTTTACTTTTAGAAAAATAATTAACACAAGAAATAATCTGATTATTTCCAAGATTTGTTAATGTATGTTGAATATCTTCTTTCGATGGTAAATTAATTTGATTATAAATAGAAATAAATGAATAAATATCAAATTGAAATATTTTTAAATATGATAAATAATTAATAATATTCTTTTTCAAATCATTACCATCAACAAATATTTTGTTATGATCAATCAATAGATGTAGATCAAGTTTTTCTAAATTTGACATACGTTGTAAAAGTGGCACAATTAATTTATCATATACATATGTTTTCACATCACAAGTTAATGAAAAATATTTTAAATTAAATAATTTTTCCTAGACAAAAATAAAAACAAAAGAATTTGATTAATTTATTTTGAACAAAAAATTAATTTTACTTTATTATCGATTGTTGGATCTGAACGAATAGTAGAAATATTAACATGAAATGTATGAAGTTGATTGAAACGACCATTGAGTAAATAAAGACAATCATTGAAATTTTCCAAATTAACATGTAATTCTAATAAAGTTGAAGAGAAAATAAGTTTTCGAGGTACAATGTCAAATGATACTTGTTGAGAATAAATTAAAGATGCTTGAAAATTTAAATAACATAAATTAGTGAACATTGTCAAAATATATGTAAATATATATGTTAGTATATTTCTTATTAATGGTTGTTTTTTATCATCAAGTTTAATAGTAAGTGATGATATTTGTTTTTTGAAAGTATGAAAGAAAGATTGTTCATCTAAATAAATATATATAGAATAACTTAGAAAAGCAACTAATCATCTTCAATGTTGATCTTTCCAACCAAGATAAATGAATACAAGACATTTTCTCCCACATAACCAATACATTCATTGACTGTTGAATATTCATAGTTTCTAAAGGTTTATCGATTGATTAATCTTCATAGCAGTGATACAAAAAAATATCAAATGATTGAGATAGAAAGTAGCGTATATTGAGACCCACTGAATGATCAGAGGAATGTATGCAATAGCTTAATATGGTAGATAAATCAACGAAATGAAGAATAAAAAAATAATAAATTAGGAAAAATAAAATAAAAGTAGTGTAAACATAACGAACTTATATAGTGGGTATGAGGACGTATAGGTTCCACATTTCAGCTCATTAAGGACTTCATCAATATGAAGTCGACTTCTAGAACTGAACTGAAAAACAAAACAATGAAAACTTCTTTCTCTCTTTCTGAACGCTAGAAAAGAAGATCAAATTGTGGTCTTAACAAGTAGCAATAAAACGTTTTTTTTTGTCGATCATTATGTTCTCAGGAAAATATTTTGATTGTGATAATAATGAATATTGACACTTTTCAGATGATTCTTTCATATGTAATTCTTTATAACCAAAGAGAAACATATTTGCGTTTACTAAGTATTTGTTTTAGCTTGATTATTCATCTATTTTATTAGAAAGTTCTTTCTATGGAAATATTTCTAATCTTTTTATTTCTATATATTAATTTTTCTATTAGCAATTTTACTCTTATTTATATTCATAATAAAATATAAGAGTAAAAGAAGCTTTTAATGATTGGATTAATTATAGGAATTTAATAAAAACTGAAATCGAATTTCTTACGGTAAAATAGATATGTAGCAGTATTCTCATCAATATTGTATAAACCAAGTTCGCATAAGTTAGGATAATTGGTTGCACGAAGAATACGTCCCATAGATAACAATTCAAGATTAAGACATTTAATTTTATCATGAATTTGTGGTAAGATTTGTAAACAAAATTGATTAACTACTTTATGGTCTAATGGATCGATACGATCATTTGATGACCATCTAAACAATGTTAAATGACTTGTAAAAATAGGATCTTGTATAATATTGTCTAGTTGTTTATTTACACCCAGTAAAGAATTGAGTGCATCGATAGTGTTTAATTTGGTAAAAATAATCAAAAGTATTTCATCAGGTAAATCTATGAATTGAATAGATGAATGTTCCATGTTTATATTTTATCGCTGGCGTCAATGAAAATAAGTTTGATTATTCTAAATCTGAATTAATTATCTGAAAATATAAGAGTAGACATCTATTGATATCATTTTCATATATGAGAGTATCCATGAAGCCTTATACTACTTTCTTGAAATGGTCTTGGATTTCTTTGTCATCATCTATTTTATTTGAAAACAGTCTGAAAAAAATCTAGGATAAAAAAATACGAATTTCTCCGATAAATTTTGAATATCCATTAGCAAAACGAAGTACATGTATGAGGTATGACTGATTTATTTTAGTCAAATTATCTTTCAAATATATGTTGCGAATAGCTTGCAAATGAATTTCGACTATTTACATGACTTTTACCCTTTGAAAAAAGTCAAGAATAATGATTTCGATATCACATCTTTAACTCAAAATATATTACACTTCTGACAACAAGATCAATTATAGATTCGTTTCCTGAGTCTCCCATTAAAGTATATTCTCTACACTCAGTTGTTTCTAATAAAATTTCAGCTAGAGCAAAATCTTACGACTTGTACGCATTGAATGTTCAACACAGTTTTGATTCTTACGTTATAGCGTGTTATCATCATTGAATGAGAATGAGCGACAGAAATGCTTTATACCTGGATACATTCCTTATGAGATAGTGAGGATACTAAAAGTGCTATGACTATTTCTGAAGAACAATATGACGAGGATTTCAATAATCCTGAAGTATCGGGGCTCGTCATTAATATCAAGTAAATAAGTTGATCGAATGTTTAGCAGCAGCTTTCGATTATTTTACATTATAATCATCTATCTAAGTAAAATCGCATACATCGATCTTTATCATAATGATCGCGTGTATTATAACCTTAGTGTACAATGACTAAACTATTGTTAAATACATCTAAATAATAAATGATGATATCGTTCTAACCATGATGCTTTATTTAATTCTTTAAATCATTGATAACTATTGTATTTTTGATAATTTGTGCTGAACGTAGTAAATGTACATCAGAAAATAATAAAAGATTACTTAAAATAATGAATCCATTGTTTTGTTGAAAATGTTTTTCTTTTCTATTTAATAAAATAATGACCAATCCTATTCCATATTAAATAGTATAGTATTTTTCTGAATTTCCTCTAAATGTTTATTTGTTTATTTTAACCAATAACATCAAAATAATACGCCTCTAAATCTCTTTTAGGTATCAATGCATCGATAAAATTTAAAGTGACAGTTGTTGTATTAAATAAAAATGAATATTTAGAATTCATTAAATCGAAATCTAGGTAAATTATGAGCTGTTTATAGTAAAGATCATTTATGTAGAGAAAATAGACAAGAGAAATAAGTATTTGTATTCATGTTTTTTATTTATGAGACTAATTCAAATAATTATGATTGATTTCGATGAATAGATGATAACTATCAGTTCGTCTACATAAATTCAAAGTTTAATTAACAATAAACAGAATATAGAATAATAGTTATGGTTAATTTGAATAAGATTGTGTATTTTTGTATATACACACAATTATATCAACCATATGGTTCTGCTCGTATATGAAAATGTAGGCGAATGGAAAATGAAACTGGAAAAACTAAATATCTTTTTTTCGTGCATATATATATTATTTTTCTTTTTCTTTTTTGATCTTTCTCATTTGCAAAATATTCACTACAATTATTGGCAAAAGTTTATTTATGCATTAGGTCATTTTAATCAATTCATTGAATGTACTCTTTAATGTTGAGCTAGTCTATACAAATGACTATCAACAAATCTTGCTCTGGATCGATACATATTTTTCTAATATTTGCTTTTATTTGTTGTGATAATTAAGATGAAAGATTTTTATATTCATTAGTGAACTATTACGAAAAAAAAACAAAAACGAATCGTATTGAAATACCTAATTAATAAAACATCTGATATTGAGAAGAGATATCGAGATTTTTATTGAACGTTAGGCCAGCGCATTATTGTATTATACAATCAAGTTCGTTTTTCCTCTCAATGTTCTCATTTGTATCAAACATACTGAATTTCTTTGCCCAAATCCAATGCATGCGGATGAATTTAAGACAGTGACAGATGTGTAGCATGTAGAATGTGTTCAAAAAATGATAATGCATTTAATTTATTTTCCATGCATTCATGTGTTAAATCTATGTAAGTAGAAGTCGTATCTGGATGACTAGACGCAAGATAGTTTTGTTGAATATCAAGGATTCTCATGAATTCAGAAAACGCATTCGAATACTCTTCGAAAGACAAGTAGATTAAGCCTGCATTATAGTACGTGACGACTATATTGTTTTCTTTTTGATGAACATAGAATATCCTTGTTTTACAAAAATAATCAGTCAGATGTAGACAAGACAAGATATGTCAAAAAATTGAAAACCGTTGTGTTTTATGTTTGACTTCTCATGAAAACACCTAGTATTTATTGTACTCTGTTCTTAGTGATATAGGCCTATGAATGCAGTCGCCTAGACTCGATCCAACGTTCTTGTTTCAAGCACATGTAACATCTCTCTTACATTGCTGTGTTGTGCAATATCAACACATTCTGCAATATGAACATGATCTAATCCAACAGAGAACGAAGGCTCAAAGGCAACGTTGTTATCAGGTTTCTCTTAGGGTGTGGATGTGGATGCGAATGAAGTGAAGGTCCACATCACACATACACAGCCACCTACCCACACCCATATCCAGACCCTCCATAAAATTCTCCAAATCCTTTAATAAACCTCGCAATAGATCAACCAGCCACACAGTGAACAAACTGTCAGAATGGATAAAAATTACATTCACCATGATCAGCATATCACCAAGAGAAAAACAGTCACCTAAATTCATCTCATAAAAACAAAACACAATGAGAGACGATGGACTACCTTCTGAGCACAATCATCAACAAAAACGATCCATATCACAAGAAAACATCATACAACATCAATAAAAACTTGACTCTATCACCATACCAGATAGAACACAATAACAGCTGGCTACACATTCCTTCACTACTAGGAACGTCTATAGAGATCACATGTAGATTATCTACCTTCCCTACCATTTTAATATCAATCAACTGGATATATTTCGTTCAAATCATCCGATGAGATCCTCGAGCAAGGTCGAGACGCGTCATAGTTTGCTTGACATACTCACGCCCACATCCATAATGGAAACATCAGGAGTGGAATGATAAACGATAAACCAATCAACGATAGATAGCAGCTGATGAAGCAAGGCAAAAACAAGCGATAAGAAGGAAATGATACATCAGAAATAAGCAGAGAGCACAACTTTTGCGAAATCATTTTTCAAAAAGGTCTTGTCTCAAGTCGCGCGATGGAAATGCCCTTTCCCACTGCGAGGATACTAAATGCCATCATGCTCATAGAATTTTTATTTTTTAGCATTCGATTGGCAGTAGCAGTGCTTTTTCGATGCTATTCTAAAGATTCGAAAACTTGAATCATTCGATGGTTAAATTCAAATTGGCGAAATTTTTTCAACATGTGATTTTGGCTTTGAATTTATTTGCAAAAAGAGAAAAGTGAAAATTTAAACTGGTACGAAAGAAAACGTTTGAAGTAGGTATCTCAATTGCCAGGTAGTTTTATTTTGTTTTCATAGCTGTTAGGTGTGATTACGATTATAGCGTCTGTTGATTCCGATTCAACTGTACAAAGTTACCACACTGCAGAAATATTTTACGCGACTCTTATTTAAGAATTACGCATTTCGCGCGATGAAACTAGTAAAACGTTGTGCTAGAATGTCGTACTGTGCAGTCCAGTCTTCAGAAGGCGCATAATCGGCATCGAATTGCTCGTCAATGATGATAGAGACTTCGCTACATGGAAGCAGTTGATGAAGTTTTTCGCCGACGTCACGAGGGTGAGTCTTGTCATTTCCAGGAACGATAAACGTAGGTATGTGAAATGATCGAAGTTGATCTTCATCCGCACCAAGAATGGGTTGATTGACGCCGTTGATGAAATAGCGGCTCCAATTTCGCATAACCGCAATGAAACGGGCAGCGTCCATCGACATCAGCCGTTCACGATTAACGGGTCGCGCTGTGATACACGCTGCAAAGTGATCGGTTTCACAAATCGCAGCCATGCCACTCTGTTCAGCGATTGTGATGAATTGGCCGTAATAGTCTTCTGCCAATAATGTGCAGCCATGGAAACCACCTGTGACACGCATGAGCAGCAGCGCACGGATTAGCTCGGGATGCTTGAGCGCCAGTACCAATGCCGTTCGAGATCCTGACGATGAGCCACCAACGATTGCAGGCCATGCACCGAGTTGTTTCAAGAATTCATAAAGGTCATCAGCCCAGATTTCATATTCGGGCTGATCGCCATCAATCATCACATCTGACGCACCGCAATTCCGTCTGTCATGAAGTAGTACCCGATAGCCTGCACTAGCGATCTTCTCGGCGAGAGATTGGATTTCGTGCCCTGCTTTCCGGCCACCCGGCATGAATGCGATCCACGGGCCTGATTGACCAACCACGTCATAATGGATATGAACACCTCGCACGTTGGCAATCGGCATGATTGATTACTCCCTAAAAATTGCAATTGAAAAAGAAACTAGATGAGAAAACAAGAAATCTGCAAAATGCCCTGTTTGAGTCAGGACACTCAACTATTGTTTGTTTGTCAAATATGTAGCGATAAGCGGTGTTTCTCTTTACATAAGTGTGTGACGACTCAGTGGTCTGTACTTCTATATTTTATTTAACAGAATGAATCTATTCTATATGTTTAGAAGTAAATATATAAATAGAGAACACGAAACGAGAGGTAACTAGTCGTTACTGATAAAGAGTAATGCTTGTGATAATAGGTAACCAAATGGATACTAGCGGGTGTCTCGTAAGAATAATCCTACCAGTAATTTCAACGTATCCTTTTCAGATTTCACTACTTGCTGTTCGCTTTTTTTTAAAGAGTCACCGTTCA